AAGGGAAGCAGTATTTTAAATTGCTTCCCAGATTTGTATTCAAGGGACGGACTTTGCATTTTGGCCAAAGTCATTTCCTTAAGCGTCTTGCGTGTTTCTTACGGAACGCGCGGCCACCCACCTACACAGCCAACTTTGCTCCGGTGCCTCGACCACAAGGAGTCACAAAGGTAAGCGTGCCTGACCTGAGGTCCCCGACTGCACCTCGCAGCCCCAAGGGCCGAGAACCGGCGAGTCGCCGGCACCTGCACTCGCAGTAAGAACCGAACGGAGAGGGTGGCTCGTGAGACAGGAGGGACCCTCAGCAAGCGCGTCACCCTCGTGGCTATCATGGCGGCTCACGCCTCTGGGGACAGAGACTTGTTCCTCTGAAAATATCAACCAGGGGATGAGATAGACAAATACGAGACTTCCCAAGTGGTAGGCAGAGGCGGCGCTTTGCGCGTGGATCTCCGAGAGGTCGCTCTGAGTCTGGACCGCACGCACTTCAATCCTTGAGCACGAAACAGCAGCGCTGGGCAGCCTGGTCAAAGCTGAGCCAGGCCCGGGGGCCCCTTCCGAGGGGTCTGCACTGACGGGGAGGGGTCTCTGCTGCAGCCTGGCACGCATAGCGGGCCCCGGACACTTCCGGTACTTCTCAGTCCTCTCTGGCCCTGGCCGCGCCGTCCCCTGGTCGTCCAACACGAGTCGGTGGAGGACGACGGCTACACACAGCTGACTGCCAGAAGAGGGAAGACGAGGCCCCCAAACTGAAGCACAGCAAAGCTGAGATGGCGTTCTTCACTTTCACCCTCTGAAACCTTACGAGAAAACACACTGTCTCAAAAGCCCCTAGCGTGCAGGGGCTTTTTCTGTCTGTCCCCATCAAATAAAAATAAGACATTTCCAGTTGTGCAAGTATGACAAGATAAAGTGACCGAGATTTTTTTTTTTTTTTTTAATTCAGATACGCTCTAGCATAGACCACTCAGTGCCAGGTGAGGCCGGATGGTCTCTGTTCCCGCAGCGTGAGCGCCGGGGCGGGAGGAGAGGGCCCGGCCCGGCCAGGAGCCTGCGGGGCGGGGGAGGCCCAGGCTTGTGGCTGTATATCTGCACTCAAATATAGAGATTAAAAAATGCTAAAAGGAAAGAAAGAAAGGAGAGAGCACACAGCTGCTGTCCCCCAAACAGACCTCCCATCTGCCACCCACGATTTGCATGTCACCTTCTCCGGGCTCATTTGTACTTCATTAACTGCCATTGACTTAACAAGATTTATGCAAATGACACCATAGGAGCTCCCTTACTCCCACTGCAATCAAGTGATTATGTATGTACAACTCTCCACTGCAATGAAAAATTAATACGTGACAAGCCCACTCGCCGCTGAGCCGGGCCTCTGGCTTTTATTTTTCTAGCTTTGCTTTTTAATTTTTATTCAAATAGACCTTATCTTATTAGTAAAAAAAAAAAAAAAGAAAGAAAGAAAGAAACAGAACTCTCTGAACCAATCTCCTCCCCAAGACCCCAGAAAGGACAAAAAAGGCACAGTGGACCCAGGTCCACAAGAAATGAAGTTACATTACAGGAAATGAGTCATATTCTTGGTGAGAGCTCTTTAATTAGGGGGAAAAAGAAAGATAAAGTCCCTGACCATCCTGATCCGGCTAGCTCCCACACAGAGGGGAAGAAGCCTTGTTGCCCACAGCGAATGGGCGAGAAGAAGAGCAACCTGGTCAACATTACCCACTGGCATGGGCGCAGTCTGTAAAAGCAGGAGCTAGGCTGCAGGCAGTGTTGAAGACCGCCCTGCCTGGGTCCTAAGCCACCCATTGCAAGGCTCCTGTGGTGGGTGGGGGCCGTCTGCAGTGATCAAACAGGGGACAGTCCCAAAACCATGGATCACCATTACCAACTCCAAGAAGGCCGCTGAGGTTCTAAAGCGATTCCTCTGCCTTCAGGCAAAGGGTCTGTTGGCCAGCGAGTGGGGCTTCAATCACGCGGACCGGGTCTCTGGCATAGTCCGAGCGTTAGGACAAAGTCCTCTGCCGCTGGTGAGAGGGGCAGAGGACATGGATCTGGCCAACAACATCCGGGTGGAAGTGAAACGGCCCCTCCCACCCAGAGGGCGGCTGAGCAGGGGTGCGTGAGCCCCGGAGAGACAGGCTGCTGCAGGCACCAGTCTCAGAAGTTTCTTTACATGGTCATAAGATATTTTGTCAGGGCTCACATAATTAATTGAAAACACGTAACTCTGCTTCCTAAGCTTTCTGAGGGCTTTTTGTCGACGGCAGTGGGAAGAGCAGACCGCTGGGGCGAAGGGCCTGCCCTGTCGGTCCCAAGCTGCCCGGTCTGGAACCCTCACACCCGCTGGTCTTGTTTAGAACAAGGGTGACACAGCTGCTTCCTTTCACTGCAGCCATGCTGAGGATTGCATGGGAGCCCGCATGAAAAGCACTTACATGGTAAGTACCCGTTTGATTGTTCATCTAGTCAACAAATAAATCTGCTGAGTTTCTAGAATATGCCGGGCAGGCGGTACCCTGTCCGGCTCTGTCCCCTGCAATCCTCTCAAGTCCTTTCCACGTTGAAGTCATCACACCAGGAGGGTAGAGACACAGACTACGTCCAGTGACCCATGCTCCTTTAGAAGCGTGGCACGCACAGGGACGCGAGATGAAGCCACGCCACCATCTGTAAACCCGCACCCATCCTCGCCAAGAGCAGCAAGGCTCTGACGAGGGTTCCCTGGACACTACTAACTTAAAAATCCAGTTTTGCTAGAACTTAAAAATGCTCCGTGGACCCTTCACTTCTAAGTGTTTCAAGGGATTCAGACATCACGCAGCTCCCCATTTTACAGATGAGGAACCCGAGGCCCAGAACAGCCTGCCTCGGTGGGACTCCGCTGGGCCAGGTGTGGACCCCAGGAAGGCGCCGGGCTGTGGCTGCAGGTGGGGTGGGGGTGGAGCGATGATGGGGGACAGGCCGCTGCTGTGCCCAGGAGTCACTGGGAAATCAGAGCATGATTTAGATTTCAGCGAGCTTATTTTGAACATTCACAATCGAAAGGCTTCCAAGGACTGGATAATACTCATTTTACGCTTGATGGTCAACTCCAATCTGCACACATATTGAAAATCCAGCCTGTAAAGCCAGCCCCCTCCACAGATGAGCAGGGTACAAATTGAGTGAAGGTTTCAATTACACGGGCGGGGGTGGGGGGCTGCCTGGTTTGTACAGAGGGGCTCGTGCTAGCACTGCCACCCAAATCAACAACAGACACGAATTAAGGAAATGGTCTATTATTAAGTTTTAACATTCTGAAAAGTAAATGTCTTGATGCCAGTTTGTTTAACGAAAAACAACAACAACAAATAATTTTTATAATTCCAGTTGAAATAGCGTCAACAGCATAAAAATTATACATTTACAATTACTTATTCAGAGAGGTTATAAATAAGTGTACAAAGGAAGAACAAACAATTATGTGCATGGACCTCTAAAGTAAAGAAACAGTTTTATAGTGAAAACACCACCCACCTGTAAAGGTGAGAGTTGTTTATTACTGCTGTTTTGCTTTAAAATATATGGCAGGAAGAGAATGTCTCCAAAAGACGCCCCACGCCAATGCACACACCTGTGGCCCAGCAGCTGAATGCGTGTCTTATACAGAGGCATGGCGGCTTGGTTACTACTTTCAGACCAATCTCTCCTCGCCTGGCAGAGGCATGACCGCCCTGTGGGCAAGGAGGCAGGAAGCTCACTCGCAGGCAGGCTCGGTCATGCTGCCGGAGCAGGTGTGGTCTTTGCAGTTCCCCAACTTCCCAGGAAACCTGTGGACTTCCTCCTCTGGTCTTACCCGAGACACGGCCCTGTTTAAACCCGTGCCTCTCTCCCCCAGCTTCACGCCCAAATGGCCCAGACCCTGCTAACGCTGCGTTCTTAGGTCTCAAACGGGCGAAATGTGCACAGACGAAATAATCTAACTGTGTTTGCGGAAAGATTCAACCCTCTTTAGGGGCAGCTAGTACCTATGGAGTCCAGGTGCCTGCAGGACAGAGCAGAGAAGCCAGAGGAGCCCGAGGAGCTCATCGGTCCTGAGCCGCGTCCTTAAGAGGCAGAGCGTCACCCTGCCCACAGTGTCGCTTTTGCTCGGGCAGAATGCACGCTCAATCAGTTGGCGTCCAACTAAAAGATGACATTTCCAGAAGCCACTATGCAGGGTTGAACTCTTTATTTCTACTCTCCTTGGAAATATAACACCAGAATACGTCACTTGTGAATTCCAGCGTTTTTTCGCTTGCGACATCAAGTAATTTAATATCCAGTTGCAGGGCTAATGAAAACCTATTCCAGGCTCGCAACACAGGCCAAAACAAATGCTTGAATTCAAGTCCTGTTGTGTAATGAGGAAGTTTAATTAAGGCCCCACATTACAGCTGTAAATGTTCCTTTATATAATAAGGTCTAAATGAAACTGAACCTAATCAAAGTTACAATTCCTTCATTAGCAAATTACAAACAAGAGCGCGCAGCTGACACACCGGCCATGATTATCACAACTAATTGCCTCGTTGCTGCGAACCAGCCTGGAACGGTGTTCAGATGTCCGTCTGCGAGAGCAAATTAGGGCCACGCGGGGCCACTCCCGTGATCACGAGAGGCGCTCACACGGGATCCGGCTCGCCCCTGTGGCCCGGCGGCCCGCGGCCCAATCAAAGCCGTGCCACAAAGGCGGCCTTTGAAGCCAGCTCAGCCTCGAAACACACTCCATCTGCAGGCGGGCAGGCCGCACTTCATTAGATCTGTTGTCGCCGTTCCTGCTTCCTATTCTAATGATCCCATTTTAATGCACACAGGAACCTCTTCTAATTGATGTCAAGTGAGTGACTTCTACCTTCATCAACAGAGCACATCAAACAAACCTCGGCGCGCGAGCCTGCAGCATCTCGAGGAGGACCGGAGTTGTGTCCCCCGCCACGGGGGTGGGGGCGGGGGGGTGGTGGGGGGCAGCGTACCTGTTTAATTGGGATGGCTCGGCCGCTCCCGATGCTGTCCGCGCGGCTCTCCAGGCCTTTCTTTTCTTTGTCCGGGTCGCTCCCTTTCCGAGACTGCAAAGCAAAAGGAAAGTTGGCATTGGGGTGAGGGCTGCAGTTCACAGACGGGGGCCCTGCCCGTTTGCACAGCGCCTGCCCGGGCATGCTTAGAAACCACGTATGTGTGTATATGCACACACACACACACACACACACACACACACACACAGAGAAACCACGTATATGTGTATATGCGCGCACACACACACACAGAGAAACCACATATATGTGTATATGCGCGCACACACACAGAAACCACATATATGTGTATATGCGCGCGCACACACACACACAGAAACCACATATATGTGTATATGCGCGCGCACACACACAGAAACCATGTATGTGTATATGCGCACGGGCACACACACACACAGAAACCACGTATGTGTGTATATGCACACACACACACACAGAGAAACCACGTATATGTGTATATGCGCACATACACACACACACACAGAGAAACCACGTATGTGTGTATATGCGCACACACACACACACACACACACACACACACACACACGTCCTCCTGCAAGCAGACCACTAAGCAGATCGCCACGGACTCATCACTTAAAAGAAAAATTTTCTAAACTTTCTCCGACTTTTCCACCGCAAAATTATCTTTTTAATTCTTTTTTAAAGGGTTCAAAATTCAATTACTAGAAACCAATGGACCATACAGGACAGTAACGCCCAACAGGAAAACGCCATTCTAGAGCTGCGGTTAATGCAGCCGGGGAAGAAAAGGAATCCTCAGCATTTACTTGGAAACCTACTACATAAATGTATATATTTAATTAATATCTGAATGATTTAAAAAATTCCATTAACTAAGTCAGCTGTGCGATTTCACGGTACACCCCTGATTAGTGTCAAGGTGCAGTTAACAGTTTGCTTTTATTGCACTTCCGGACTGTTAGGAAATAGCAAATTCACAAAATAGTGTTCACTACCACAAAAAAAAAAATAATGAAGGGAGAAACTGAAGACACCCTTCTGACAAAAACGTCAGCATCTGGGAAATAATGGGCAGCTTTCTTTGCCAAGTTCCTCAAACAACGGCAGCCCGGAGCAGAAGCACCTTGGCCTGGGGAAAACGGGAGGCGCTCCCCGTCCAAGTCGCCAGCCCCCGACGGCATGAGAAAGTGTGAGCTCGACGGTTTCCTGACAGATTTATTTTATTATGAGAGAAAGATCTGAGACTCGTCCTCCTTAATAACTGTGCCGACAAGTGACAACTTCACTCCATTACTTTTCAATGGGAACATTACTCACGCAATATTGAAAATGGAGAAACATTTTCATGTGCTTTTCAAATCTGAGATGATATATGAAATGAAAAGGCTCTGTGGTGTCCAGGGCTGCAATGAAAACCTAACGGAATCGGATTCAGAGGGACGCGAGACGCAGCGGCTGACTTTTGTTTCTTAGTTACTAAAAGGGGCGATGTCACGGGACATAATGGAAACAAGGCCTTATGGGGCGGGATTTAGGCTTCCAGAAGAGGTCACCCTCCCAAATTAGGGAGGAGGGCAAGGAGAAAAGTCCCCACGACGTACACTCAGATCTAGTACTTCAAACGGTGTTAATTCTCCCGAACAGGTGCGCTCCCGAGGAAACACGCTTTGCGGACGCTTCCGAGAGCTGGCGCTTACTGAACACCTGCTATGTGCCAGGCACTGTGCACCGTGTTTTCCTTTACGATGGTAGAACGCAGAAATGAGACAACAGGAAATAAAGCAAGCAACAAATAGAAAGTTGTAGAAGAATATAAAACATAAGGCTTATCTCTTTGGGCGAGGAGGGAAATAGAGGTATTTATCAACTCCTTGTCATGAATTTTAGCTAGGGCTTGGGGGCTTACTTTTCCCTTTAATTAATTCTCAAATTAATAATGCATCGTAAGATCCACACAGTAGCCTCAAATCCTCTCTTCCTCACATCTCGATTCACGAGGAAGCTGGCACTCGGAGTTTCTAGTTGTAAAACAAACTTCAAAGCTCACAGCGGTAACATCTGAAAATGTTTTTTTTTTTTAATTGACAAAGAATATGAACGGCACTTTGGGAATTTTACGAATGCTAAATCTCTAAATTTGAAGATCCATCTTCATTATTCTCTATTAACCGGAATAATTAACAAAACAAACATTAAAAAAATTAACATCTTCCTCAAGGCGGCAATCTGTCCCCACAGTCGCCCTGCTCCCCGAGCAGAGGTTCCCACTGCACAGGGGACGGGAAGAAGCGGCCAAGTGCGCCGCTGTCAGCACCTCGGAATCAACTACGGAGAAGTGAGCTCGCTATGCGGCCACACACTCCGAGACAAAGGCGGCTGGGAGTCAGGTAAGACTTCACTGCAAAAATAAAACAAACATTTCCTGACAACCCTAACAACTCGGTGGAGAGAGCCACGAGACGGAAGCATCGGGGAAAGAGCAGCCGCGAGCCGTGAGGCGACAGGGTTTTCTGTAGCGGCTCACCCCACGACGACTTGCTCTACAACAGGCTGGACCCATAAAATCGACATCCAACAACTAGACTAAAACAAACAAACACTGGAGGTAAAACACTGCAGCGCATATAAATTCCCAGTGGGGTCTCCTTGTTGTTCTGCCAACTTTGGAGACTTCGTCACTAACGGCGCGTCCTTCCCTGACTGCGGAAACGGCCGTGAAGTCATCAGACACGGAGCAGCCCCGGTACCCACCGAGAACGTGGTACCTGCTCGACAACGTGGTACCTGCTCGACAACGTGGTACCCACTGACAACGTGGTACCCGCCGACAACGTGGTACCCACTGAGGACGTGGTGCCCACCTTGGACAACATGGTACCCACCGAGGACGTGGTACCCACCTTGGACAACATGGTACCCACCGAGGACGTGGTACCCACCAAGGATATGGTACCCACCGAGGACGTAGTGCCCACCGAGGACATGGTGCCCACTGACAACATGGTACCCGCCGACAATGTGGTACCCGCCGATAATGTAGTACCCACCAACGTCAGGCACGATGCTCGTGGTGCCCGGCCTGCCTGATCACACAACGTCCGTGCACAACACGCCACACGAGTGACTGCTCAGCCTCCACAAACACCGGATACAGAGGAAGGAAAGCTTGAGATGATCGAATTAGCACCTGGTTCTTAACAGAAATGTTTAGCTCCCTGCCACATGTAGACAGAAGCCATAGGGACACCCCCAGCACCCACCCGCTCACGGGGACGGAAGCACCATTCCCGAGAGCCCTCACTGTCAAACAGAAACCTGCTTTTCCCCCTTTAACCAAAGGCTGCTGGAACGCACCACAATAGGCAGTCAGGCACCCTTCCTCTGAAGAAACCCAAAATACCGTCCAACAATTCCATTTATACTGTGATCTTGGCTGCCTTATTTTCACTGCGAGTTTCCGTGAGCTGGGCAAGGTTTATGCACAGTAACACCCAGTATCATTTGGGTGCTGGGTATGTCTGGCTCTATTTAATGGTTATCAGCAATATTCAGTAAGCTTCCCCAAAATATCACGTCAATGATATTAGCTTGAAAATGGGCAGAGCAATGCCATGCACAATTTAAGGACACGCGCTAGAGTTGAGTTTAAAACACGGGGAGGCAGATGCGATGCGTGAAATTCAGGTGAAAGCTGATCGCTGGACACAGGCCGGAGAAGGCACGTGGGAGGCTCATGTGGAGGCTGCAGCTGACGATTCGCTTATTTCTCCAACAAGCAGTCACGGCACTGGCGTGGCAGGAAAAGGCTTGCATGTGGTGCGGTGCACGGTGAGTGTGCATGTTTCTCTCTGTGTGTTCGGAAGTATTTTCTAAGGAAACATTGTAACCACATGTCAACTAGGGCTACTAAACCAATAGTTCTAAGAACCCATATTATAAAACCAGAGATTACATGGATATAGTCTTTTAATGTATATTTGCCCAAAACAATGATTTCTCAGATAAAAAAGTGAAATAAGATGTAATTCAGCTTTTGATTAGTTAAGCATAATTCTCGCTGCAAGTATAACAAATAATTTAGACTATGACATAGATTTTGTTTGTAATATTTTGTAAAAAGTACATGTGACTTTTTTTTGTTTACAAATATATATATCTGGAAACAAACATTTGGAGTTAAAAGTGTTAGCCCAGACTGGTATATTACAGGTCTACTTTATAAAATGTATAAGAACGATATTTGAAAAATGACATGTGTACTACTTAATTAACTATGGCCTCTTTATGATGGTTTAACCCTTTGCACTCGGATGTCAAGTGTGGATAATGTCGAGTGGATAACGAGAAAAAAGCAAGCGAGTGCAAAGGGTTAATAAACGTGGTGGACAGTGCCCTATGGTATCTGGGTGTTACAATCCTAGTCTATACGAATTTTTATTCACTAAGATTGTCAGAATATGGTGCATCTGAATCCCTACTGGACACTCCTAAAAAAAAAAAATACATGTTTTGACAATTTAAGACAATAATCACCAACGGTCACCAGGCACTGAGAGTCTATGAAATTCTACATGTTTAAGAACAGGAGAAAACTGGTAAGGGAAAGAACTTAATTCCTTAATTGCTATGACTTCAAAATTAATTTGCCTTCTTTTCATTCCTTGGATGACACTGACATCTAGTGGAGTTAATGTTTCCAAGCTCTTCAACTTAAAAACACACCTCACGCATCAGCACCGCCGCCGCCATCCACAGCCAGCACGGCCGCCCAGAGCCGCCGCCGCCATCATTCTGTGCAATGTCAAGCCAGTAACGGCCACCACGCGGGGCCCCTGCCCGGGACTGTGGCCGTCTTTCCCTCACCCGCCACAGTGCAAATCCATCGTGCCATCAGCTTCTTTCCTGACCCTCATTTCCGCCCCCACTGACGATATCTGAGCAGCTGGCATCCATTTCGTGGATGTTACTTCTCGATTGCTCTTCCAAGATCAAGGAGAAAGAGACAAACACCGGTGACAGCTTGCTCACGGCAGGCATCATACCACCAAGACACG